AAAATTTTAAAACAATTACTTGGAGACAAAGATTGAATTTTCTTTTTGTCATAGCGTATGATTTAGATCTTATTCATAGAGCAGAATATATACATCGAGATTTTATAGTGGTAATATACTTTTAGTTACAAGAGTTGATAAATTAGAGCCAACTATAGAATCACATATTGCAGATTTAGGATTAACTAGAAAACAAGATAATAATACAAGTAAAGAAATATTTAGAGTATTGTTTTTTGTGATACCAGAAGTCTTAATGGATAAACCATTCATACCAGTATCAGATATTTATAGTTTTGAAGCTATTATGTATGAGGTTTCAACTAGAAGGGTACTATTTGAAAAGAAATTAGAAGAATTTAATAATATTGTTCTTAGTTTACAAATATATAAGGAATTACGACTAGAATTTGCAGAAGGAATATCTGAATGTTATGTCAAATTAGCAAGACAATATATAGATAAAGATCCAAAAAAATACCAACAGCTAAATATCTTTGTCAAGAATTATTTAATTGGTAAAATTATTTTTATTTAGACAATTTACAAGAAGATAAATCTAAAAGAGTAAAGAGTTTTTGGTAGCAGATAAAATTACACCTAATTTAACAATAACTTTTAAACATTTAAATGCAAAATATACAAGTAGACCTATTAATACTTAAACTTTAAAGAATTTATCTGCACCACAAGCCTAGAATTGTGATTGTTATGCAGAGTAATATCTCTTTTCCAGAATTTTAAGTCATGTTTTAATATATACATTATGTATGCATATGTGTTAAATACGTATACTAGTTTGCAATAATGTTATAGAAATGAAATTTGATAGCACTAGATCATAAGTCATAATACATAATATAATCAGAAAGGATTGACAAAGTTACTAATGCTTTCATTTATTAAAGAAATAAATTGTTTCGCCAGGAGGCTTTCGTTATAAGATTATTAAATCATTAAATCAAAAAAAATTCCAAAACAAAAACAAAAATTTTGACAAAAGCTAACAAACCAATGTAAAATATAATAGACATCACTTTTTTTTTTACCAAATATAAAATGCAAATAGCAATTGCAATTTAGAAGCTAGAAGCAGAAGCTATAAGTTATAGCTTATGTATTACAATATGTAATAATACAAATTAATAAAAATAGACATATCGCTAAGTATATATGGAAGGATTATACTGCATAGCTACATATAGTAAAAGCGATTAGACAAAATTTAATAGTGTTAAAAAAAAGCAATATAAAGCATGTAACAATATGCATTTAATGAGTACTAAAATAGTTGATAATGGTTTGTATATCATTACAGGTAAATCTAGAAATTTTATCTGCACTAAAAGTAGTGATATATTCAATTTTGTCTACCCCGATTTGTCTAAATAGATCATATACTTTGTTTGCTTTTTTAGTTTTTTTTCTCAAGTGGTTTTGCTTTATATTTAGTAAAAATATCAAAATTTCCTTGTAAAGTTTTGATCAAACAGCTCTTTCAGAAAGAGAATTGTTCAATATCATTTTTCTAATTTTAATTTCATAGTTTTCACTATAATGATACCATGATATAATCTCATTTCTTGTACTTCAAATTGTTTTTTTTTGTACTTTATTAGCTAATTTATAAAGATCTGCCAAAGTCCCTGCCATTATTTGACTGGATTCTTCTTCAATATTCATTTTATTTTATTTTATTTTTTTTTTACCTCCCTCCGCATCTCGAAGGTCTTTAGACTCCTTCGGATCTCTCACATCTCTCAAAGGCCAGAGTTTTCATATCTGCAAAGATCACTGTATGGTGAATTGGCCACCTATGTGTCACTGTACTGGTGAGATAACTCATGTTTCGTTAAGTATGTCATATGATGTCCCAGGTCCCTAGTACCATAGTATAGGATCTATGTTCTCTAAATCTGCAGTTCTCTAACTTCACATGACCTACAAGCCAGATCGTCCTTTTATATCTGATATCCTTGATTCTATTAAGCTGGGTTTTTCTTAATTTTAGCATCGTTTGTTGACGGATTATGCTTTATCTGGTCATCCCTGGCCCTGTGGCTATACCAGCGGACTGCAACTTGTACGAATCTTGTTCTTCATTTTTTTAATGAAAAATCCTCCAAAGATCTTAGCCAATCGTGGTCCTAGCAGAGCCATTTGTCACCCAGTAAACTCGAACTCACGACCTTGCGATTGTGACCCGGAAGCGCTAACCACTACGCTATCGATCCACAGGTCGTCCTTCATTTTATTTTTATCATTAATCTCATCATCTATTTCCTCAATCTCTTCTATATGATTTGTTATTTTTATTATGAATTCTTGAATTACTGGTTTTTTTATATTACTCAAGCTGTTGTTATCACCAATGATATTATTATCATACTTATTATAGTTCTCATCATTTTCATTATTATAATCCTCATCATTTTCATTATTATAATCCTCATCATTTTTATTATTATAATCCTCATCATTTTTATTATTATAGTCCTTATTACATTCTTTATTACCTTCAGACTCATCTCTACTTTCATTATCATCTTCATTGTAATTATTTATATCTTTATCCTTTTCAAACTCATCTTTACTTTCAATATGATCATTTTTATCCTCATTTATTTCATTTGATTCTTGGTTATTGTTATTTGTACTTTCGATTTGTGTTTCAGTATGATTACCTGATGTTGAACTTTGTGCATGACAAATTGGACAAGTAGAACACAATTCTGAATTAGAGTAACTGTGGTAATTATAAATGCATTCATAGTGAAAGAAATGCCTGCATAACAATATTGTTATTGATTCATTTAAACTTGGTAAAATAATATTGTTACAGTACCGTGGCCTTCTTAACAGCAGTACTATAACAATGACATGGCTACAGGGATCCTTTACAGGTTT